TTAACACCCCACCCCCCAAAAAAATTGAGGGGAGAAAAAATACAAACACAAACACCCAAATGCAAACAATTCAGCAGATGTATGGCACAGAAATGTCTAATTGGCCCACTGCTCTCACACGATTAAGACAGTCTGACAGCAGCTGTTTGGGTAATAAACCATATTATGAATCATCACATTTACCATGGCCCAAATTAAGATGATGGAACATTATACATGGTGAAATCAGTTAATGTGTGACACATTAAATCATAGTTGCTCTGTGACTTAATCTAACAAACAACAAATGCATTTCAAAACAGAGTTATAATAGTTAACTAAAAAACAAAAAACGATTGCTGAAAACATAAAAAAATAAAAGAAAAATATAAATCATTTTCATTAAGTTCAACAATGTAGTAAAATAACTAAAACTAAATTGAAAATGAACAAAAATTATATAGACATAAAAAAAAACTAATAAAAATGTCAAAAACACAAAAAATACTAAAAACCAACTAATGAAAACAATATAAAAACAAATACAAAAATCTAAATATTAATGAAAATGATAATAGTGTCTTAATGATACTAAAATAACACGGTTTCAAACAGAGTATGACGTGCATGAACAATAATATATACATAACACATGAGAGACAGAGCACAGAAAGTTTTTTTCTTTATCTTTCTCTTTTAAGTTTGGTGTAATATGCCAAAACGTGCAATAAAGATTTTGTGAGGCAATTTAACAACAAATCCTCATTGGACTGAAATTGCGTTGGTTGTGTAAAGTAGGTAAAGTTATTGCCTTTAGTCTTAAATGCTCAAAGATTACACAGCATTAAAATGCATTTCATGAACACTAGAACGCATTGTTCCAAGCTCATTGGGGAAAAAATCTATCCAAGATGGCAGTTAATGCAAGAGAAATGTCAATTATGAACACGATTATATCATTACAGAAAAGTAATGTAATGTGGGTAGGGCGACCATATGTCCTGTTGTCCTGGCCAGGATTTCTAAATTGCCTAAAACATCTATGTTTTGCCTTTTTAGTTAATGACTGAAAAGTAGTTTGACCAATAGCATGCAGGTACTGTACATAATTGACCAATTATAGCATGCAGGACGTTGTGATCTACAGAGAAGGGTCAAAGCGATGCAAATACACTTACATATTTTATTTAATTTAACCTTTATTTAACCAGGCAAGTCAATTAAGAACAGATTCTTATTTTCATTTTACCTACATATATTGTATGAGGACTGTATGAAGCATGTCAACAAAGGAAAACAAATCCAAAACCCGGACATTTTAGGCTATTTAGAAATCCTGGTCAGGACATGTCCATGAAAAAGAGGATGTCTGGTCACCTTGATGTTGGAAGTAGACAGCAAGGCAGCTCAATAGGCTTTGGAACAGAACCTTAATGTGATAAATCAATGAAGTTTCAGGCTGCAAGAAACTTTGTGTCAATACGTGGCCTGTGATCCTCCTATTTAGTGTGTAATTAGTTGTGGGTGGATGTGTTTGAATGAAGGTCCAAAGTGAAAGAGGTGAACTAAAAGGAACAAGTTTCATTCCCAGTATCTGTCAGGACAAACAAGAAACAAAAAGGAAGAACTATGGGAGCAGAGCTGGACAATGACACCCACACATCTCTCGCTTCCCAAGCCTGTGTCAGTGTGTCTGGAAAGCCGTCGCTGGTTCCCTCGCTCAGGTCTGGAGTCTGGGCCTGACCCTGTGTGAAAGTCTGCAGCCTACATTCCATCACTGAACCGCTGGCCACCCCGCGCTGGGAATCAGACAGAGACGGAGGAAGAGAGATAGACAAACAAGCAGCGAGGCAGAGCCATGTCTCATGCTAAAGTCCTCTTCATTTATTTTTATCTGTCACTCTGCCTTGCTCTTCCCTGACCCAGATGAGCACAAGAGGATAAAAATTAATAGTGGAGTAGGATGAGCAGAATACAAAAAAGCACAAAAAATTTAAACAAAAAATAGAATAGCTTTGAAAAAAAAAAACAATAAAAGACAATAGACCAGAGCAAAGTAAATATAAGAACATAACAGAAATATAGAACAGAGCAAAAATGAATAGATCTGAAGAAACAGAGCACAACAAAACACATAGAATACAACAGAAAAAATTACAATAGAACACCAGACAGCATAGAACAGTAGAGTAAATAGATTAGAACAGAATAGAATGCAGAATAGACAAATATTACAGTCTAACAAATAGAACAGAAAAGTGCAGAGCGAAAAAACGACAGAAAACAATAGAACAAAACTGAGCAACTTACACACACACACACACACGCACACACACAACCATTCAAAAGCAGTGTTGAGAAAAGTTACTTTTAAAAGTAATGCAATTTTGTGTTACTCCCTAAAAAGCAACTAATTACATTATGTTAGTTACTTTTTATAGAAAGTAATGCGTTGTTACTTTTGCGTTACTTTTTAAATCTGGACAGGGCTTGCTTGTTTGTTTTTAATATAAAAAGTTCTATTTTTGGCAAATGTAAAAGCCCTTTCACACCAAAAGCCTCAGGCTGAAGGAAATGTAAATTCAGGTCTGTACAGTAGAACACAGAAGAAAGTTCAGATATCTTAAGCGATGAACAAACAAAAAATCTTAAGCGAAAAAAGAAGAACAAATGTTAGTTTATCTCGAGTAATTTTTGTTTATTAGTATGGTTGAATTGGATCATCGAAGGTCAGCAGCAAAGACACTGGATAATAAAATGGGATTAAATACATAAAGGATATTTGTATAATTTAACATATTTAATTATTGCAGGTTTGCGTCATATTCTGAGTTGCATTTCACTGTTTTTATTCATTTTGAGGAATAGTGAATCTGTTTTTTTGTGAGTGAGATGAATTAACACGTTAACATTTATTCTAGAACTAAAGTAACATCTTTCTCTCAACATGGGGACAGGAGAGCTTTCAATCAATAAATGGGAAAAAAGTAACTGGCGTTACTTATTTGAAAAAGTAACTAAGATATTTTCTTGTAAATTAAAAAGTAATGTGTTACTTTACTTTAAAAAAGTAATCTGATTACGTAACTCGCGTTACTTGTAATGTGTTACCCCCAACACTGATCAAATGTCTGTCTTTTTTTTCAGTAAGTGTGCACTGAAATACACTGTTATGAAAATAATTATATTTCTATAAATGCTGTTCTAACTTTCTGAAAAAAAAAAATTGTCAGCTTACACAAAACATATTACGTTTTAACATTTTTTTAACATTGCTATTAATAACAAATGTCTCTTGAACAGCAAATCAGAATATTGGAATTATTTCTGAAGGACCATGTGACACTGAAAACTGGAGTAATGGCTGCTGAATATTCAGCTTTACCATCACAGGAATAAATTACGTTTGAAAATATATTCAAAGAGAAAGTAGTTATTTTACATTACAATAATATTTCACAATATTACTGCATTTTTCATGAAATATATGTAGCCTAGGTCAGAATAAGAGAAAACAAAATCTTTCAGAAACAGCTTACCAACCCCAAACCTTTGAAAGGTAGTGTACAGTAAATACAAATAACTAGATAAGACAACAAGATAACTAATAGAATAGAATAGAATAGAATAGAATAGAATATATTCTGGCCATTTACTAAAGACATTTCCTTAGGAAAGTGCTTTTGTCTGTTTGTCTTAAGACACACACACACACACACACACACATCTGGACACAGCAGCAGGTTTCCTACACTCTCAGTCAGTCACACTTACACAGACTCAACACTGGCGTGCGTCTCCTTCCATTGTTCATCAACAAAGAACTAACCTTTCTACTATAAATGTGTTGTCCCAGATTCCCTTCATACGGCTCATCAGTCTCAGACTTCTAACATTCCCCAAAGGAAGAATTCTTACAAAAGCCTTCTCCAAACACACATACTCATGACGTTACCCGAGCGCCACCGATCTCAAATCCACAATAAATCTAACAGATAGTAATGCAAAGTTTCACCTGTGTGATGTTTGGCTCCTCAACATCAGGAATGTTTTATCAAAATGATGAGCAGGCCAACCACAAAATCAATTTTCTTCTTCAATGGGATTTTTTTAGTCTGCCAGGAATAAATCATAAATCCATTATATCTCCTCAACAAGCCTTGTGATTAGAGGAATCATTCATGTCTGTAGCACAATGGTGGTTCAGGATGAGTTACAAAGTATAGTTTAATAGTTTTTATTAGAGGTTTGTTCAAATCACTAACCCAAAGTGTGAGCAATAATAAAAGTCATGCTTGCCTTTGGAATCAACACTAATAAGCAAGCAATAAACAGGTGGATTCATGGGAGCACAGGTCAGGAACAAGAGGCAGCCAAATGAAGGTTTAGAGCTCTACTTCACTCAACAGCCTGATTATATTGAGGAGAGAATGAGAAGGAAAAAAAAAGAGAAAGGCTCTGAAAATCTGAGAACAGACACGGACGGGAAAAAGAGCCCCCTCCAGACTTCACAACATCTTCATAAATGTGGAGTTAATCAAAATATTGTTCAAAGATCTGGCAGAGAATGAGAAGAATGCTGAATCAGCACCACGAGGGCTTTCAGAAATGTAAATGTGCTCTTTGGTGTTGACAGCACAAAGCCAGAGTGTCAGCTAACGCAACAGAGGACAGAGAGAACAAGCAGAACATGCACAATATATTCAATATATAGTAATGAAAAAACTACCTCACAATGTCACGATTCAATATTCACACAGTTCAATTAAAAGTTTAAGCTTCATGATATTGATCCTAATTCAAAACATTTCTAACATTGGGGATTGTCAGATTGCATTGCAGTAAAAGCTCTTGTGAGCTCTAGTGCATCAGCAACATTAGAAAGTGTCAGGACCAAACTCCCCTTGGGAGGAACCAAGGATTCTCCTTTAAGTATTTAAAAGACTGTTATTGTGGATACCAAAAAGGTAGTATTTGTTCTTCAGAAGTGAATAAACATGGAGATTTCCACATACACACACCTCTGTAATGATGAAGAAATCATCTCCTGGTTCTCCTTGCACTACGATCTTCTCTCCATCTTCAAACTGCACAGGCTCCAGGGCATCGGCCACAGTCAACCTCTCCCACTTATCAAGGGATTCTGCAAAACACAACAGTTTCATGTTAGGGAGACAGAAACTGTCAGTCAGATTTTCCTTTTCGGTTAAGGTACATGATCAGTTACACTTCAACTTCAACCTTTGAACTCGGTCCACGGGTTGGCAATAATAATAACAATCTTATTAAGGGGTGTGCATCTTTGGGTAGAGCATGAATAGATTCAATTTACGATTTATAGGTTTTCAATTCAGGAATGATTTCTGCAGATTCAGAACAGTTCGATTCAATCCGATTCACAATGAGGTTTAACTCAGGAACAATTTTTGCGAATTTGAATAAATCCAATTCACAACGAGATCTAATTAATGATTTGATTCTGTATTTTTTAAGTGCATTCATAGGATTATGTGAATGCTTCTCCCAATGTGTCTTAAGCAAGAAAACGACAAACTACTTAAAGGGACAGTCCACCCAAAACTAAAAATTCTGTCATCTATATATTTTTTTGATACTGTGGAAGTCAATGCCTACTGTCAGCTGTTACTCACAGTCTACAATATATTTTCTTTTGTGTTAGGCAGAAGGCAGAAACTCATACAGGTTGTGGAACAAATTGAGGATGAGTAAATGATGACAGAATTTTCATTTTTGGGTGAACTAATTTTATTGCACCCAGAAACATGAACGTAAAAACATTAATACATGTAAAACAGTCTACCTGAAATATAACAAAGTGTGCAATGAGCTAATAAAATACTTTAGAGCTGAGCAAACCTAGGTAAACCTAAAATAAATAAATGCGTATATGCATATTTATTTATTTTTAAACAAAGACAAAAATATTATTTTTAATAATATTAAATATATTTATATATAATATTTCATTATTACATTTTTAATTACATGCACCAATATTGACAATAAAAATTAAGTGTTTTGTTTCAGTAGTAGTGGCCACTTTATCAATGTTGGCCAATGTTTACAAAGTTGGCCACTTTATCAATGTTTTGTGCATGAGGACGCAAATGATAGTGTGCTACATTTCCAATAATTTCTACATGCAATTAAATTATTGTTTATATATTGCATATTGAATAATACTTCCCTGAATCATGACTCATTGATTTTTAGCATTTTAAATCAATTCCAGACCGAAAAAAAAAAAAAAACCTCACAATCCAAAAATGTTTCAAAATCTGTGCATAGGCAGTATTTGTACTCAATGCATCAGGAACACAAGTGAATCGTTACACCTCTAGATACCATAAATCTGATGATACTATGCTAACATCACGGTTCAACAAAGCAGCAATTCATTGAAATAAAAGCCACAAAAGTTCTAATGAAAAGTTGTTGACTTTCCATGCATACAGAAGTAACAAGCAGCCACAGACGGATATTTTTAGAGACCATTTTAAGAAAGCTTTGCTTTTATTGAGTGCAACGAGCATCCGGTGGTCCGTGAGTGACCAGTGGGTGTGTCATTAGAGACTCAGACTAATGCTTTTATAAATAAACCGACTAATCAGAAAGACTCCAAGGCTTATCGTGAACTTCCTGCAGAATGTGAGGACTGCATCTCGACCTAGAAGAGCTTCTGTTGCTCATGGTATTCAATACCCACCACATTCCAGAAACCCTTCCCACCTTCCAGCATCCATCACACAGGCGTACCACACACGAACACGACCGCACTGAAACCCTCTGGACTTGTGCAGCGCCACTCCATCCTCCAGCTGCAAACAATAATGAACGCCTCTGCCCTTCACTGTTTGCTCGCTCTGTCATTCATCATTTCCCATCATCCCATCATCCCAGTGCAGGACAGTAGTGGGCGATCAGAGCTCATAATAGCGTTAACGTTTAAACAGTTAAAAGTGGCCGGTTGTGTGTGGCTGAGGTGTGTGTTTGTGTGTTGGGGCCGGCCTGTCTGCATGCCCCAGACTAATGGTCACTTTATCAGGCTGGCTAAGACATCCTCAGGCCCGGGCAGACGTCCACCTGCTTCAGTCGTAACATGAGCTGCAAGTGAGGGAAAAAATCAACATGCATGCTTCAACTGAGAAAAAAGTGTGTATGCGTGTGTGTCTATGTTAGCACCATACTCTTTTAGGATATTGTAACATAATATACAAAAATACATGATGAAGGCAAAAATTATTTTTATTTAATAATATTGAATATATATATTTTATATATACAGTATATATATATATATATATATATATATATA